AAGGCACTTGGCAGCTGTTGCTGGGCTGGGGTCTTTGCAGCTCCCACCCCGATGTGCAGGGACCCTGGTGCAGACAGGCAGAGGGAGGTGTGAAGATGAGAATCACACGTGCCCGAGGCCAGCAGCGCTGTGCCCATGGGACCCACCCATCACTTCCTGCTGCTTCTTGCTTTCTAAGGCCAGGGTTGACCTGATAATAAATATGCCTGGTCTAAGTTCCAGCTTCCTGGTGGAAACAGTCCCGGGCCAGTTGTCGTTGCTGCCGGGAGAGGGTCTTCTCGGCAGATTTGGAGATTTTCTGCCGGAACCCACAGCCCTGGGCCTTCCTTTCCCGCCTTCCCATGAGAGGCTGATCCAGATCCAGTGTGCGACACAACGGCCCTTTGGGGGCTTCTAGTGGGACTTGTGTGAATCACTGAGGCTCACACAGGGCTTGGTCCTGGGCACGGCTGGAGTTTGAGCTCAGGGAGTAGAGCCTTGCTCCGGAATGACTGACTGGAGCAGGGCTGTGCGTGGCTTAGCTGGCATCTGAAAAACAGCCAGGCGGGTCATCTTCCAGGAGGCTGGTGTCAGCCCTGCTTTCCCTGGCTTCCAGGGCTCCCTGCTTGGTCATACTGTGGAGGGCCGTTCACTCTTTGATTTGGGGACCTCCCCTGCAGCACAAAGCCCCCAGGTGCTGAAGAGGCGAAGTGGTGGGATCGTGTTGAGACGCTCAGAGCCTCTGGGATTGGCATGTCCTCACGCCAGGCCCTGGCCTTTCCCCAGGCCACTGGTGCATGGGGGGGGGGGGCACTGCCCTACCAGGGCGGCTGCCGTCTCAGCACTGTCAGCTTCTCCAGCTATGGCCGCCGAGGTTGGTCTGGGCCTCTGCGAGACCCTCCATCACGTGGCCTCGGCTTGGTTCCTGAGAGCAAGTCCAATTAAGTCAGGATTAAATGATCAGCCCCCTCGCCTAAGCAAAAGCAAATTAGTAATAGGTCTCATGATAAAAGCAGCCACATAAATAAAGATCTATTCTTGGACTGCTTAGTTTCCTGGAAAAAGGGCTATTTCTTGGGATTAAGATTAGAGGTCTCCTCCTCCCACATTGGGGGTGGTGAGAGGTGCAGGTGAAGGGTATGAAGGGGGCTAGTGGGGCAGGAGGCCAGTAGAGGAGGGGGCCTGGGCTGGCTCTGGAGGGCTCATCTGTCTGCTCCACCTGCTGTGAAAACTTGCAACTTGATGTTTTGTGAAGAATGATAAACAGCAACTATCACATGGGCGGTGCCCCTGAGAAGCTTGGGCCTCACACCGCAAACCTTTTCTTGCCAAGATGCATTTGATAATTGGCCAAACAGGGCTGCCCACGATGGTTGCCCCCCATAACCAAAGGGGTGAGATAATTATCTCCAAGAGAACGAGCTGAACTTCCCTGATGGACAGGTGCTCACCCAGCAGCAGGAAGGGCTTTTGTCCCAAGTAGTAGCCTTGAAAGTCTGTGACTGAGATGAAGCCTTCACATTTAATCCCGGAAGACAGGCACGTGCGTGGGCGTGGGCGTGTATGCACCCACATGTGTGGCTCAAGCTCTGTGTTAGGATGTGTTGCTGCAGGTGAGCGTGTGACTTGAACCCAGAGCCTGCATGACGATGTGAAGGAGGCAAAGGGGAGGTTTGCCAAGGGCAGCCCCAGGTCACCAGAGCCTGAGAACCACGGCGCAGGTCCTGGTGACACCAGGGCTCTAGCTCTGTCCTCACGCACCTTCCTGTGACACTCTGATGACACCTTGTCACCTAAACAGGGCAGAGCCAGGTCGAGGCGGGGACGCAGGTGTGCCGAGGGCTTCCAGGTGTCGTCTCATTTCTTCCTCCCACTCATCCTTATTCCATAGATGAAGCCCCCGAGGCTTGACCATGTCACCAGACTAGTCCAGGAATGAGGATGGAGCAGCTGGGAATGAGGATGCAGGTTTGCCTGAACCCAGAGCCCAGCTCTTATCCCAGACATCATGGGGCCGCACCGTCTGATAACCCCGCCTGACCCCTGTGAGCCTCGGAGTGCAGCCAGTCCTGGCTCTGGCAGCCCTGGGGCTCTGTCAAGACGCGGCAGCCTGGCCTTCTAGTCCGGAAGCACAGTGCCCTGTCAGCACCGTCCCCCACACGGGTGGAGAAGCACGTTTAGAGCCTCACATGGCGTGGCTGGGGCCCACGGGCCAGCTGGGATGGGGGTGAGACTGCAGCGGGTGCCAGGGCAAGGTGGCTCAGATTCGGCTGAGGGTGAGGTTGAGACTGCAGCGGGTGCCAGGGCGAGGTGGCTCAGATTCAGCTGAGGGTGCGGGTGAGACTGCAGCAGGTACCAGGGCGAGGTGGCTCAGATTCGGCTGAACCTCTCTCAGCTGTGGGGCTTTGGCTGCGCGTGAAACTGCCCCAGTCTGCTAAAAATTGAACTGCGCCCATCTGGTAAAAGGAACTGGTATACAGAGGGCCCTCTGGCTGGCTCTGCACCCGGCTACTGCCCTTCTACCAGCAGAGGAGGGCGGGCTTGCTCAAGTCCACCTCGGGATGACAGCAAACGCCAAGCTGTCCTGCTAGTGATGCCTAGTTGGACTGCATCAGACCCTCTGTGGTGAGGGTGTCCCTTGTGGCTGTCCCTGGTGCTGAGCACAGAAGTGAGAGGCTGGGGATCGTCACAGTCACTCTTGTCTGAAACGAGAACCGTTGCCTGGGACTCAGGACTCGGGGTGGAGAAGCGTCCAGTCGAAGTCACAGCACCTTGGCTCCTGTAGGCTCTGCCCCTTTGTCTGGAAAATGTGCATCACTTGAATAATGACTGACTCCCCGTTCCGTGATGAGACGGCCTGACGCTGCCCCAAGCAGAGGCCCCACTCCGCGTATCACAGCCGCACCTGCCAGGCTGGCATTGGGGAGCCATGGAATGTCACTGAAACCTCAAGGCTGACAAACCTAATTTAGAGGCTGACAAACCTAATTTTTCAGTTCAATCAAAAGTTCAAGACCAAGTTGAGAGTGAGCTCCTCTTCAAGCAAATGCTTTCCTGAGGGTCGGTTTACACTAAATGGGAACCAGCTTGTTATTGAATGTAAAGTTTATCTTGGGATATCAACACTTCCTGTACTTAATACTTTGACCCCGCGCAGTAGATACATTATTTTACTTTCTAGATGATGACATTGAGACGTAAGTTCCCACATCAGTGGTGGATCTGGGGCCAAGAGCTCAAGTCTCCTGATGTTGTTCGCAGAGTGTTATTTAATACCCAGGGAAAATATCCGTGAATAATGACTGAGCATTTGAATCTTAATCACAGGTCCTGCTAATGAGATGAGACAAAAGGAAATTTCAAGCATAATTTAGGTGTTGAAATGTTCTTTCAGGCAGTAAGTAAAGCAGCTGAGCTGACTCTAGTTATTAGAAGCCTCACCCTTCAGTGACTCTCACCAAGCAAGATGGTTTTCTGTTCTGGTCCCCAAGTTAGACTGACATTCTCCACCCCAAACTGGTTGACAAATGATTGCTCAAGATTTATTGAGGCCTCTGTACTATTCCAGCTCAAAGCGAGAGAGCAATCCCTCTCCTGACATCTGCGTGGAATGAGGCCCAAGGATGAGCACCCCCTCTTTGTGTTTCTCTCTGCATCTGGTCCCCTGGGTTCAGGGAGGCGAGGGTAGGGGCAGCACTGAGCGTGGGGAGGTACCTGTCTGCTGGAAGGGAGGCTTGGTCAGCCAGACTGGCTGAGTGGAGCCAGGTGGATCTGTGCACTCTCTCAGGAGGGGAGCAGAGGTGTTTGCTCCTCACCTTGGGGCAGGAGTCTGGGTAGTGAACTGGAACTTCCGGTGATCAGAGGAGACTTGATCGAGAGAGTCATCCTGCGGACTCCCAGGCAAAGGTGTCCTCACAAGTGTGGGTCCCACGGCTGGAAGGATGTGGGGACAGTCCCCCAAGGGCTGAGTTACACCTGTTGCTCAGGGAAGTGGGCTGGGGTGGGCTTCATTCCAGAGGACAGATCAGACCAGGGGCTCCGGGAAGTTCCCAGATGTGTGTCAGCGCTCAAGGCCGATGCTTAGCAAAACCAGCAGCCAGGCCGAGGTCTGCGCTTCTGCCCCTGCCACTGTTGGGCTGGCCTTTGCCAGGCACCGAGGCCACCCCAGTCTCGCCACAGCAAGCCCCCAGCGGTAGTGGTAGAGCAACTGTGGCTGACCTCCCAGGTGTCTGCCCAGGGAGCTGCTCTCGGCAATGGAAAGGAACAGCAGGAAGCCCTGAGCTGGAGAAGGAGCATTCTGGGGGGACGTAGAGCCTTGCCCTTGCCTCTGAAATCACACTCCTACCTTCACTTAATAAATGATATGTCCGCACCAGCTGCTGTTATGAGGGCAATCTCTCCCTCCCCCCACCAGCTCCTGGCTTTCTGGAAGCTAAGGGGTGCTCACTCCTAGGGCTGTCTCTAGACCTGAGACTAGGACTTTAATAGAGCCCATGCTGGACCCTGGCAGAATCCACTACCACCCAGCCCTTTTCCCTAGCCCGAGCCATGGCAGGGAGCGAGGAGAACAGGAATGCCACACAGCCCCCTCCTCCAGGCGCCCAACCCACCAGGAGGCTTCCTCTACCCCTGCCCAGCCTCAGTCTTTGTGAAGTGGAGGAAGCTGCCCTGGGTGGCATGTCCCTGCAGGGGACACTGTCCTGGGTGGGCTGCCCCTGGAGTGGGGTGATTGCCGTCAGGGCCAGGAGGGGATGGCTGGCAGCATTCCCATCGCCCCCGCCCGCCATGCTGCTTCCCACAGACTGTCCAGGACCCTCCCACTGCAATCCTGTATTTCTTGTCTGCAGCCAGTCTATCCTTCCCTGGGAGGAGGCTCTTGCCTGAGGACATGCAGGGGGTGGGGAGCCTTCCTCCTCCCCTTGTTCCGATTGCAGAAAAGGAGGGTTCCCATTCCAGGCCAAGGCTGCTTACAGCTGTGCCCTGTGACAGATGCCCGGGAGCAGCAGGTATAGGGACTCAGCATGGCAGAGTCACTGTCTGAGGAGCAAGTGGCTGCGTTCAAGGAGGTCTTCGAAGAAGTGGACAAGGACAAGGACGGCACCATCAACCTCCAGGAGCTTCGTAGTGTGATGCAGGCCCTGAACAAAAACCTGTCAGAGGAGGAGCTGAAGAAGATCATGGAGCAGGTAGATGGCAATGGTGAGGGCACCATCAGCTTCCCCAAGTTCCTGGAGGAGATGGCCAGGAGGAATAAGGCCTTCGGCAGTGAGGAGGAACTGCGGACCGTGTTCTGTGCCTTCGACATGAATGGGGACGGCCACATCAGTGTGGATGAGCTCCGGCAGGCCATGGCCCAGCTGGGGATACTGCTGTCCCAGGAGGAGCTGGATGCCATGATCAGTGAGGCCGACGTGAACCAGGACGGGCAGGTGGACTATGAGGAGTTCTCGCGAATCCTCTCCCAGAAGTGAGGCGCCCACCTTCGCCAACACACCTGCTGTCAGGACTGCCATGCACACCGGGTAGGGGGCAGGGAGGCCTCCGCCTGTCCCTTCCTCCCCCAGTGATGCTTATCCAAATAAAAGGACGGTGCAGTCCAGCTGTGTGTGTTCACTGCCAGGGGAATCTCAGGGCCTCATGCAGAGTCTGGGGATCCTCTCCCCAGACCAAACGGGCCATGGACGACAACCCAGGCCTCCCTGACCCCAGGAGAGGAAGCGTGGGGCAATGTGGGCAGGCTCTGCCCTGCTGCTGGTGAGGACCCTGGACTGCCATGTCTATGTGCCTGTGTGTGTGTGTTGTGTGCGTCTGTCCTGAGTATACCTGTCTGTCCGTCATGTTGGCTCTGCCTGTGTGTGTCTGCACGTGTGTGTATCTCTGTGTGTTTGTGTGCGTCTGTCCTGAGGATACCTGTCTGTCACGTTGGCTCTGCATCTGTGTGTGTCTGCACGTGTGTGTATCTCTGTGTGTTTGTGTGCGTCTGTCCTGAGTATACCTGTCTGTCTGTCATGTTGGCTTTGCATCTGTGTGTAGCATCTGTGCGTGGCGTCTGTCCTGTATCTGAGATGCTGGTCTCAGTTTCTCTCTAAGAAGGTGGCCCTGGAGACCAACTCTCTTTTTGTGTGTGGCAGCCAGGGGAAGTGGCCGGGGCTCAGGTGGTTGTGCTGGGCGCCGGGATGGGCACTGGCGGCGGGGACCCTGCCTAGGCTGAGGGAGGGGGACGCTTCCAGGCTGAGAGGCTCTTCCTCTGCTGCTCTGGGATGGTGCCCGCAGCTGCTGCTGTGTGACCTTGTCAACCTGGGTCTGAAGTCGCTCCTAAGACTCCAGGGTGGGGGCTGTCCCCTAGGGAAGGTTGGGAGGGGCAGGAGGATGGAGAAGGGGCTGAGGGTGGCAGTGCCGCCCCTTCTGCCCTGATGCAGGCAGAGCACTCCTTGAGCCTGGATTTGTGACAGGACCCTGTTAGGCTGCAGGGCCAGGCTCTGGGTCCCCAAGGCTCCCTCCGTCCTGGTTCTCGGGTGGTCAGAGCTACCTCTGAGTGCTGCAGATGGAGAAACTGAGGCCCTGTGTGGTCTGGTTGGAATTAGGACAGTGAGGTGGGGGCACCTGCCCTGGGCATCGGGACACTGGTTATTTCCCAGCTTGGGAGCAGCTGGCTGTGTGCTAGGGTCTCCTCCGGGAGGGAGACGGGGTTTTCTGTTGTTTATATCCGACCAAGATATTAGCTGAAGTTATCAGTGATCATTCACCTTGTCTTGTTCTCAACTCGGGACAGGAGAGAGGCAGAACCCTCTCACCTGGGAGCATCTAAGTGTCCCCGCAGCCTTTCCTGGCACACCTATGCTGGCACACACCTGCACTGGCAGGTGTGGATGGTGGTGCACACCTGTGCTGGTGCAGTGACAGACCTGTGGTGGCATACCATGGGGCCTGTCCACTTTATTCTGACTTGAGCACAGAGCCCCAGGAGCTGGGTGCCAGGCCCCCCAGCCAGGGCTGCTGAGTCTCTGAAGTCGTATTTCATCTTTTGTGGGACATTCTCAGGGATCACTCCCATTTCTGACGGGGGTCACCCCAGTCTCTGAGGTCCTTACTCATGACTACCTTGTTCCATCCTGTCCTCAGGGCCTGGCCCAGTGCCCTGACTGGAACTGGGGTGTGGATGAGAGAGAGGGGCAGGGAGAGAGAGAGAGAGGAAGAGGGGGCAGAAAGAGAAAGGGGGTGCTCCCCAGGCCCCTCCTGCAGGGCTCTGGAAGGGAGGAGAGAGCAGATAAGGTGACGGGAAGGGCAGAGGCAGCCTGACGTGAGAGCTGAGCGGGGCAGGTGGAAAAGGCACTGGCCCCTGTGTCCAGTTGGGGATTCTCCCCAGAAAGTCCCCATCCTATTAGGGACAAGGCACAGAGCTCTGAGTTTCTACAGTTGTGATTCCTCAACACCAAGCTGCTTCAAGAGGAAATTTCCCAAGGTCTGTGTGAGAAAATAAAACAAAAGAAAAATAAAGGCTCTGTGCACCATCTGTAAACCGTGAGGCTGCCTCCCCTCTGTTCTCAGGGTTGAATGTTCTTTCTTTTAGAAAGCTGCTGTGATAGCAAATGATTTTTATTTTTTCGGGTTTCTTTTCCCCTTGACATTCTTATTCTGCAAAATATACAGTCCCACAGATCCCCCAGATGTCTTGAATATTCTTGATCAAGTTCAAATGTCTGAACACAACTGCTTGAATGCGCAAAACTGACCTTCCTTCCTTCTTTCCTTCCTTCCTTCCTCCCTCCCTCCCTTCCTCCCTCCTTCTTTCCTTCCTTCCTTCTTCCCTCCCTTCCTCCCTCCCTTCCTCCCTCCCTCCCTCCCTCCTTTTCTCCTTCCCTCCCTCCCTTCCTCCCTCCTTCTTTCCTTCCTTCCTTCTTCCCTCCATTCCTCCCTCCCTCCC